TCCTGTGAGATTGCTGATGTGGATATAAATTGTGTTTGCCTGCACATGCACGGGAGAGGCAGAAATGGAAAGAAGAGACTGAATATGTCTGTGGAGAATACAGCTAGGGAAGGGAGCTGGAGAAACTTGCAGAACTTGCCAGCAAATGGATGCAGATGGAGAGAGAAATCAGAGCTTTTTATTTATTTGATTTTTGGCTACAGTAGGCCAAAAGGCCTGTGCAGCCCTATCAACATAGCCACCAGAGACCAGACATGTTTCATGTCTATCGTGAGCTGGCCAACACCTAATAGTTTTCCCACAAACTGGTAAGAGTCAAACATAAGAAGGCTCCAGTGACGACTTTTCTTTCCACATTGATGTGCTCACAGAAGACAGTGGCCCAGCAGGGAGTCTCAGAGATGACTTTCCACATGTTGAAATTCTATATTTCTATATATTCTGATTTCTGAGGTGGATAGCACAAGCTGATCCTACCTTTGGTCCTGGTGTCCCTGGTCCCAACACTGCTTATGGAGGACAAGTTCTGAAGTCCCCACACAGCCCTTTCATCCAGAAAGAAAGAGGTGGCCTACAGAAATTGTTCCCTTTTACACATTGCTGAGATACTGGACCAGCCCCATAGGGCTCCACAGAACTTGCATCTTAGTTTGGAGCCCCCAGCAATCAGCAGCTCTGCTGTCTGAGGCGGAAGAATGAAGCAGGTTCCCTCACAGGCCTAAGCAGGTGGTGAAAGCTGTCTGGCATGAACACAAACAGCAAATGAGGTAGGAACATGCATCACCCACAGACAGCATGTTGCGTTACCAGGAACTAAGCGCAGATCACTAGTCTGCAGGTATAGACTAATTATTGTTCTAGAATGGCATCCATAGGGAGGTAAGGAAAGGGCATACTAGAAAGACAGGATGGTATTTAGGACCAAAGGCCTTTATGCTAAAGGACTCCTGGCAACTAACTTCTGATTTGCATGCAGTAGATACCTTATTTTGGGAGAAGAAGAATTTAGCTACATAAACATAAACCATATCTTGTTAGAAAGTTTCTGAGCACCCATAGTTCTATCTGGAAAATCTCAATGAGTAGCATTATGTGCTGCTGAGATGCCCAGTATGAACACAAAGCACCTCCAATGCCCATGCAAAATCCAACATATTGGGCTTGCCATGCATGTATTTCTCAGTTAACTACACTTCTAACCAGACCACAAAGCACTTGTTTCATGTGCATCTGTCACTTGTACTGCTGACATGCAGTGGATCTGTAAGCACTGAATAGTCACATCACTGTGATTTCTTGTCAACCTTTCCTACTTTATGCAATTTCAAGGAAAAGAATACAAGAGGATTTTACCAATGTTGTGTCAACCAATTTACTACAATAAGTTCAAGGGTTTTTTAAGAAAGATCTTAAATTTTAAACATGGTGGATTTCAAATAGATCCTTGTAACCAGTATGCTCTCCTTCCTCTACCACTTATCATTGAAATATCAGAGGCAAACAAGTAAAAAAATTCACTGCACACAGTAAAAGTATACAGGAGGACCATGCCAGATAATTTACCACCTAGACGTTCTCCCAATACTGAGAAGAGACAGTAAGAATGATACTTCAGG